AGACTTTCACCAAAGTGTGCCATGGTTCCATGATCAATGAAAGCTGCATCCCTACACTCCATTCTATGAGATCAAGCTTGAGGAACTCATGGAATTGGTGTAATCTTTACACAAGGGGATAAGAAACACAACATGACACTCACTGAAATATTTCCATGATTAGAGAATTGAGTGTAACGTTTTTAACAATGAAAGTTTCTCTGAAAACAAAAGACAGTAAGTAGATGTACAAAAGTACTGAATGTTTCAGAAATGTTTTAGAAAACTATCTTCTTGTCTGTTACCTTGTTTACACACTTGATAACAGTAAATATTTAAAACATGCTGTGGTAAAATTTCTCATTCAAGTACTCAATGATAAATTAGAGAATCTAGTAGCCCATAAAACCATATTCTCTTTTTCAAAAATTTCTCATTCAGTTACTTTTGTCTGAAGATGGTAACAACGTTGTCACTGAAATGTCACACACTATTTATTTGGATTTGGTCTTATTACCTTGTGTTTCTTTTAAGTTCAATAATACAAGAAAATAAGACCTAATCCAAATAATTTATTAGTGTGTGACGTTTCGGCAACAACATTGTCATTTGGATTAGGTCTTATTTTCTTTTATTATAATCTATAATCCAAATTGTGCATTAAGTTCAATTAATTCATTGTTCCCACAGAGTAGAGGTGGATAAGATCATAAGAAAATAGGTGCTAACCATAAGAAGAATAGAAATTTTTAAAATGCTCCAATGGCCCCCGATTCTTGCAAAAAACCAACTCCCACCAGCGAGTGCAAGTAACCAAACGAGGCTCTGGCACATTTGTAAGTGCAAAGTCAAACTGCTTTTCACATATGTAGACATGTGGTATATTTACAGTAAAAGCAGTCGCTAACTACCCACCATGATTATCATGGCCTATACTAGAGAGATAATAAATAAATAAAAAAGAAATTTCTCTTTGTTTACTATGTTATAATATTTCTATGAAAAATAGACACTTCGGCCAGCTAGAGTTTTTTATTTTCTCAACGTTTCAACAAAAATCTTTTGTCTTCGTCAGGAGAAGTAAATAAAAATAAACCATTTGGTAAGGCAAGGAGAACAATTTTTAACGCCTTGCCAAATGCTTTATTTTTATTTACTTCTCCTGATGAAAACAAAATATTTTTGTCGAAACGTTGAGAAAATAAAAAACTCTAACTGGCCGAAGTGTCTATTTTTCATAGAAATATGAATGCCGGGCAACCTTACTGTGCTGAGAACATGTAAGAAAACATGTACCTATGTTTTCCCACGTGACGCAGCGGAGCGTGACCTTGGCTGCACGGGTGAGTCAGTTGTTGTTTTGCTCTCTGTATAGATGGACATTAAAACATGGTGGCAGCGATAGCTGGATAAAATACGAACCTGTATATCGCAAAATATCGATTTTTGCGTACTTTGGAAGATAATTCAACATGGCTCAGATTCAACCTCCAGAAACTTTCGACTTCTCGACTCCCAACGAATGGCCCAAATGGAGGAGGAGATTCGAACGATACCTCGTGGTCAGTGGAATGAAGAAGAAAGAGGAGGCGGACAAGATCGATTTGTTCATGTACTTGATGGGTGACCGCGCGGATGATATATTCAGGACCTTCAAGTTCGAAAAGGAGGAAGAGGCAAAGAAAATTGATTCCGTCCTCAAGGCGTTCGACAGCCACTTCTGTGTCAGAAAGAATATTATCTACGAACGTGCGAAATTTAATTCAAGAATCCAAGAGGATCGGGAGCCAGTGGACGAATTCACTTCATTGTACAAATTGGCTGATAGTTGCGAATTTGAGGGTCTTCATGAGCAGTTGATCCGTGACCGAATAGTGGTTGGGGTGAGGGACAAAGCTTTATCTGAAAGAATGCAGTTGGACAGCGAACTGACTTTGGAAAAGGCGGTGAAATTGGTTCGACAGCAGGAAGCCGTTCGACGGCGGCAAGTCGACCTGCAGCGTCCCTCAACAAGCCAAAAGGTCAATCAGGTGAAGTTCAACTCGAAGAAACAATCACCGAAACAACAACAGCAACCTTCGAGGAAGAAGGAGAAGTCAGCCAAAACAATATCACGATGTCCAAAATGCGGAGGTTTCACCCACAGGGGAGGGCAGGCTTGCCGTGCTGAAGGACAGAAATGTAACCTGTGTTCAAAAACAGGCCATTTTGCAAATTGCTGCCCAGATAAGCAGGCGAAGACTGCGGAAGTCAAAGCTGTTTCTGAACTTGATGAAGAAATTGGTTTTCTCCTGGAGGTCTCAGCTGTGGAGGATTCATCTAATCTCGATAATGATGAAGACGAGTGCAGGAGGCGATGGACAGTAGAAATCCAAGTGAACGGGAAACAGGTGAAGTTCAAGCTCGACTCCCAGGCGGATGTTACATGTGTTCCTCTGTGTCTCTTCAAGAAGATAATGGGACAGCAACGACTAGTGGAAAGTGATATCAACCTTAGAGCTGCTGAATTCTCCGAACTTCAGACTGTGGGTATGTTTATATCAACGCTGCGAAATGGCAATTATGAAATCAAGCAGAAGATTTATGTCATTCGTCGTTTGAGTGAACCTCTTCTGAGTCGCCGGGCATGTGAGCTCTTGAACCTGGCGAGGCGGATTGAAGTGGTTGCGACGAAAATTAACCCGA